ATCCTAAAGCTTGATAACCTACAAATGGATGAAGGAAAAATTTGGAATTATACTATTAACTGGGGCATTGCTCAAAATCCTTCTTTACCTCCTAATCCTGATCAATGGTCAGATGATCACTTTTTAGCTTTAAAAAGCTCACTTCAAAATTGTCTTCCATTAATTCGTTATTTCCAAATCTCCGGTGAAGAAGTTTTTGAGAAAGTTCAGCCTTATCACAAAATTCTTGATAAAACTTTATGGGCTGATATTATGCAAAAATTTATGGCTCCAAATAAGACCATTACTTCGCACGTTTTGCCTCCTCGCACTAATTTATCTAGAACATTACCTTCACGAGATATTACTAATAATAATGCACGTGAAATTGAATTAAATAAAGCATCAGAATTAAGAAAAAGTGGTGAAAATTATCGTATTATGGGTAAATTTAACGAGTCACTTATAGACTTAAATAAATCTTTAGAAATTGAACCAAATAATGCATTTGCATTGAAAAATCGTGGAGCCGCTTATATTGAGGTGGTGAAATATAAAGAATCACTTGAAGATCTAACTAAAGTATTAGATATTGAACCAAATGATGCGTTTGCATTAAGATATCGTGGAATATGTTACTATTGGATGTATAGATATGAAGAATCACTCGCAGATTTAAATAAATCTTTAGTAATTGAACCAAATAATGCAATTGCATTGAAATTTCGTGGAGCAACTTATCGTATGATGGGCAGATATGAAGAATCGCTTATAGATTTAAATAAATCATTAGATATTGAACCAGATGATGCATTTGCATTAAAAACTCGTGGGGCTATTTATTATATGTTGGGCAGATATGAAGAATCGCTCGCAGATTTAAATAAATCATTAGAAATTAAACCAGACTATATATCTGCATTAAGTATTCGTGGACAACTTTATCGCATAATGGGCAGATATGAAGAATCACTTATAGATTTAAATAAATCTTTAGAAATTGAACCAAACGATGCATTTGCATTAAATGATCGTGGAGATACTTATCGCATGATGGGTAGATATGAAGAATCACTTATAGATTTAAATAAATCATTAGATATTGAACCAGATGATGCATCTGCATTAAGAACTCGTGGAGACGTTTATCGAAGTATGAACAGATATGAAGAATCAATCGCAGATTTAAATAAATCATTAGAGACTGAACCAAACGATGTATTTGCATTAAAAACTCGTGGAGACGTTTATCGTCTGATGGACAGATATGAAGAATCACTCGCAGATTTAACTAAGGCATTAGAAATTAAACAAAATGATGATTTTGCATTAAGTATTCGTGGAGCAACTTATTGCATGATGGGAAAATATAAAGAATCACTTGCAGATTTGGATAGATCATTAAAAATTAATCCAAATGATAAATGGACATTGGATCAACGTCAAAAAACTGACAGATAAATAAAAAATAACTAGATTTACTTTATCTAATATTACTCATTGGAGTTGATCTCATTCATTTACTGAATTCGGATTAAAGTCTATATTTTAGCTAGTAGTTATTTGGCCTTTTCAGATTTTAGCATACTTGACTAGACATTGTGCAAAACAATAAAAAGTATTTTTAAAATAAAATATTATTATTAAAAAACACTAATTTTTCCCTTGATTTTAATTTATTATTCTGTGAATTTATTTATAAAAATTTTTATTGACTAAACTCTGACTTATTTTTCTAGAGTATAGGTACAAAAATATAATCGGGAATCCTTTTTTACAATTAGTGATGTATGTCAAAATGTTATAATTCGTATCATAATATTAGATTTATACATAATATTGACTTGTGCCTGCCATGGGACACATATTTGATATTATATAAAATTTGAAAAAAAAGGATTTCAAGAACGGGATCTATTTTTATTAATTTTGCAGTATATAATTCATTTAAAATAATCAATATGCAAATATCTAATTCAACACTCAAACCTGTGTCAGTATAGTCTTAGGAAAATTTATATTAAAGTTGTCTTTGATGTAACTTTATCCAAAACAGGTTTCTGCTCTGAAAGATTGTATATCGAGATAGATTTGTTGATTTTTACAAATTTTATCATTTCAATAATTCATATTCACGGTCAAAGTTTAGGTATATTTCGAATGTTTGGTTAGTATTTTTTTCAAGTTTTCGATTTCAAGGTGTATGCACTTGTCACCAATAGTCAACTTTGTGTATTGAAATTAATAATTAAATTAGGAATCAATTCTTTTTGAATAATTAATATATAAACTAGGAAAGTAAAATTTTTAAAGGTCCAAAAACTGCATTTTAATAAATCTTTATATAGGTGGTGTTTTATTTTTGATTAGTCAAAAATGAAAAAAAAACGATCGAAAATTTGTCTATACACGTATTATTGCTCCGTTTTACTTTTCATCATCTTGATTAATTTCGCGCAATATATACTAAGTTATTGCTGTTGATGTAGCAATGTGTTTCTCATCAGTATAGTAAGATTTATTCTTCGTTAAGGATAGAAATAATATAAATACGCATGTTTTAGCAAAGTAAAAATCAACTAGTCATTCTATCAAGATAAATAATGGTTGTAAAATATTTGGCACATAAAATGATATAGAACATACTATGAAAAAAAAGTAATGTTAATGAAGAATTCTGTTTATGATAATTATAAGAAGATCGTTTAATGCCAAAGAGTTTTAAAGTGATAACATAGCTGTGGTGCAAAATTTGGCTGTCCTACCCTACGTATAACATACAGATCCGTGGTAAAAAAAACTCATTTGTTATGGAGGTTTTTTGTAATTCAAGTTCTTGGCGCAAAAATTTAGAATATCATTTCAACGTAAATATAAATGTTTAGGATAACATCATCGTGGGATTATGAGTGCACCATGACTATCCCTATAAAAAAAAGTTGTTCTATACATGATATATTTTGTTAGCCCCCATACGGTTTTTATTCAGAATAGAAGCATTATTGTGTAGTGTTTGTACTGCTGCATAAAAATCAAAAAATATTAGCTTACCAACAATTGTATAAAAATTATACAATTTTATAAATTTGTTTAATATTTATTTAATAATTATATAGAATAATTGTATAATGATTTATAACAATAAAATTGTTCAATTATTTCGTTATAAGATTTGCACAAAAAGTATACAGCGTTTTTCTTTATTTTATTAGTAACTATAATAGCTACTGTATTAACTAAGATATACTGAAATTATAATACGATTATACAATAAATGAACAGAAATAGTTCTGATTAATTGATATTTTTAACCCGCTATATTTACTATATACTACAATGCAAGCGAAAAAGATAATTTAAAAAAATATTATTGTTCATTGTCAACTTCTTTGTCTACAATATAAAATAAATTTTCAATCTCAATAAACCCAACACAATGATCAATTGCAGACGCGTCAATAAATGCATATGCACCCAATTGCTTAAATGATTTTAAACCAATATTATCTTCTTCAACAGGTGATGTCCATTGAATATAAGCTAACATCGCTTTAGACTCTTCAAATTCATATGTTAAATAATACTCAACAATAGCATAAAAATCTTGAACTTCAAATACTGATGGTCGTTTTGGATAGTTTGCATAAATATCAACTTCAATTTTTACCATAACAGTGTAATTAATTCGTGACCAATCTTCATTTCGACGAATCCATTTTGATCCAATATAATGACCATCTTTTGTTCTAAGCCGTCCATATTTTATTCCTTCATGGCTAAAAGATATAAGTTGCAAACCCGATACATCTGATATGGTGGAGAAATGTTGTTTAATTTTTCTCAATTCGCTTTGCGATAGCTTGTAATTGGCTGAGGGAAAATAAAAGTCTTGACCATTTTCTCCAGTATAAGCAAGATGTTCATCATGTATTTTAGGCGACATTGGTGGAAAAATTTGATTATACAGTAAGTCACTCGATTAAATTTTAAACAATTAAAAGTTTCAATTAATTGAATGTTATTAGAAAGATTTTTATAAGGATGAAGCCTTGATCTTGTTAGTGGAAGCAACATCCCACATACCCTTTATATCGGATACTGCCATGTTGTGCAACAAGGACCAGTTTGCAAAATACTTTCAGATACATGTAAGATTAAATAGAATACTCTTTTTAAAAGAAATTCCATAACGTCTAACTGCTTGATTTCGTTCTAATATCATTTGTGCATTTTGAATTTCCTGTATTTGACTTTTGTATTCCTTATGGGACCTGAGTGGTAAATTTGCTGGGTCATAAGTTTCACCCTCTTGATCTCTAGGTGGTTTTGTAGGGTAATATACATGTGATGAATAAGTACCCTTTATATTACAATAACGACATCCTTTATACAAATTATGACCTGTTAAGCCCATTAATTTGGTAAGTGCTAGTGTGTCACTAGACCAAGAAAGCACACATCCATGAAGTATGAATGTACCATTATACTTAATATTTGGGCATTCTACACCTTCTTCTAATTGGCACAATTCTGCAACAGCAGGAGATAAAAAAGAATTTAGATCCTTCGGTTCTTTAGGACCAGGTATGATTGTGGATATGAGAAGATTTTCTTTCTTTACACGTTGCTCCGGTGGTAAGTTGGCATTTATGAATAATAAAATCCAACAATCATTCATTTTTTGTTTGAAAATTTGAAACCTATCAATTGATGCTAATAAAGCAACATCATGTTTTTCTTTAAAATGTCCTTTTTTTACAAGATTTTTATATCGCTGACCATCAAATACATCTCTGATTATTTCATTATTAAAATATTCTGGCCTTGATACATATTCTGCACAATAATACAAGTTTTTTGCTTGTATTGCATCTTGATATTGAATTATAAGCCGATCAATAATTGGGAAATATGCAAATTGTCAATGTGCTTCCTGTTGTTTGTTTTTACGAAGTCGATCTTGATATCATTTTTTTTTACAATACGGGCATTCAGTAAGACTACTATAATCACCAGTATAAGCACAACAAGTATTAATGCACATGTCTATCCACACAGGTTTAAATAAAACTAATGATAATAATTTTTTTTTGACCATATATAAGCTAATTGGTTTTGTTATTATGGCTTTCATAATTTCCCTAAAGGCTTCATCGGTAAGATTATTTTGTGCTTTAACCTTAAGAAGTCGGATTACTGTAGCAAGTTCAGAGGATATAAAAGAGGTATCTTCTAAAATTTAATAGAAGATATAATGTGAAAAAAAAACAAATTCATAATTTTTTGGTAACAGAATAGATATAATTACCTTCATTATCTGTTAAAGTTGAACTAGCTATACTTGAGTCGCTACTATCGTTTTCTGACCAATCCTCAAATTCATCAATTTCTGAACCATTCTCGGATTCATTAATACCTTCAAAGTCACATTTCATCCCATTCTCAAATTCATCATCACGATCCAATCCATTTTAAATTCATCAACACCTTCGAATTCATTATTATAGTCCAACCTATTTTCAAATTCATCAACACCTTAGAATTCATTATTATAGGTCAACCCATTTTCAAATTCATTAGCATATTCGAACCCATTCTCAAGTCTATTGACATTTTCTAATCTATTATTATTTCTTGACCCTTCCCCAAATTCATTATCATTTTCGAGATTATTAAGTTCAGGCTCAAATGTTCCTTGGTAAAAACCATATGTTGCTTGGTTTTGAATAGTATTTTGTAATTCTAATTCATCACTAGGACTTCGTTTATTTCGCCTATCACGTTTATGATGCCGAGTTCTAGCACTTTTTAATTTCCAAAGGCTGCCATCTTTACTTAATGAGCAAATACTGCAAGTACACCAAACCAAGGTTTTGGGCATTATTTTTTTAATAAAATTCTATTGCAAAAATTAATAGAATATACCAGTAAATTTAAATACATAATATGTATAAGCTATATAATATAAATATTAACCTGATTGCTTAAAAAAAAATTTTTAAGACTTTGCTACTAGTTTTGTCTTCTTACGAACAGAATCACATATAGACGCTCAAGTCTCAAATACCCTGTTCAATTTAGATTTAAAATAAATAATAGTTGTTATAGTAATAATCTCATACAATATAACTTACTTAACAACACCTTTAGCCAACATTCACTATCAGCAACGGTATATATGTATGTATTGTTTTTATTGCTTTTTTTAAATTAGAAAAGAAATTTATAGGTCACGATTTTCTCTTCTCTTTTATTAAAAATTCTTATCGATCAATTACTTAATATATACATAATACAGTAAAAGAAATTTACAGGTCACGATTTTCTCTTCTCTTTTATTTAATTTTTAAAAATTCTTATCGATCGATTACTTAATATATACGTAATACTGTAGTAAATATTAAAATAGACCTGCATTGACTTAACCGATAAGTATATTTCTTATTGTTATTTGTAATCAAGTTTATGCATGCAGAGTCTATTTTAATATACGCATAATCTTATTACCATATATGAGTTACCATGGGAAAATGTATCTTCAGACTTTAAATTATATTATGACCGGACATAATCTATATAATTTATTAAGAATTATGTCTGGTCAAAATGTAATTGAAAGTCCAAAGTGACATTTTCCTTTAAAAGTACTTATATAAAGTGTGTACAGTATAAAATATGTCATAGTAAATTACGTCATAGCAATAATGATAATATATAGTCAAAAATTGAATAAAAAATCGTGATCAGTAAATTTCTTTCTCTAACTTAAAAGTAATAAACCAAAATACCTACCTTTGCTATCAAATAACTAGTTGCAAGTTTACCTCGCTTGTTCCAGTTGAACTCTCTTTAGTTCTTGCTCATTTGAAATCAAGTCTTTTTTAATTCAATGAGTTTTGTTTGAAAAATAAACTTTTCTTATTAAAACTTGGCGAACTATTATTCAAGTCAGTTTGGTAAAAGTATCTTTTCAATTGAACTAAAATGTGCTATTAGTAAGAAAAAATTAGATGTGAATTAGATACACACTTAAAATTAAAAACCCTACTACTATATTGATTGTGACTATTTTTTACTCTGCAATAATGGTTCTTAATAAGAAAAAAGGAGCATCTGCAATTAGTCGAAATTCAAATGCAAGTGATCAAGAAGAAGCAACTCGGTCTATTTCAGAATCAGAAATATATAGAAGTGAACAAAGTTCAGATAATGAAGATGAACCTTTCTCCAAAACAAATAAAATATCGGCCTTAATTAAAAGATTAGAAACTTTGGAGAAACTTCAAACAGCTCATAATAAGGTTAAGAACAAAAAAATTGAACTCATCTCGGATGATACTAATAACGATGCATCTAAGAAACAAAAAAAAAAAAAATCTAAATCGAATAAGAAAAATCACAAGGATACTTTTAGTTCAGGAACGGAGAGTAATGACGAGGATTCTATTGTATATATCTGATAATCTGGGTAATCTTATATTACATAATTACTAAATAATTATTCTAAAGCCAGTGCCAATTGAAAAACCAAGTGAGACAACGTACATTAATATACCAAAGTATCTCAAGATTGACAAGTCTATATATAATAGTTATCGGATAATAGTGTTATTATACATATCTTTCATTTATCTATTGATTTATTTTTCTATTGATTCAATATCGTTATTCTAGGAATCACTTCGTCTAATGATAATGGCTAAATATGAAAAGAATGTGCCTGGGTTTCGACAAATACCTGAGAGCGAAAAAAGTGAAATTATTAAAAGAGTAAGACCCACGGTTCAATTGTTTCTGCTAATATTTTAAAAATAATAAAAAATAATTTTTAGTTCAAATGCAAAAATCCAACGTTTCCCCTTACAATTTGTGACTGGGCTATTAGACGAATGATGCGAGGGATAATTAATAATAAACGTTCGTAAGAATTAGCCAAAATTATATTATATGAAACAAAAATATGATCAACTTACTCTACAACAGGTGATATTGAAAAGCGTAAAATGAATCATCATTCATCTCAGAATAGCAAAAAAATGAAGAAAGGTATAATCATTTATTTTAATTATTTTTCAGAGGTTTTTTTTTTTAATAAATAAAAGACCTTCCTATCGGAACACGCGAGACCCTTGAAGAGTTTGTATCAAGCCTTGGAATTAGTGTAAGTAGAATTATAATAAGTTATTAATAAACGAATATTAATTTTATATATTATATTTTTAGTCTATCAATCACAATCAACCTTTAGAAGTTACCAGAACTTCAAGTTCAGTAAATAACACAAGAATGACTACTGATACTAGTACCTCTCGTGCTCCATTAGCTACTCTTCAACAGCAAAATAATAGCGACATCCAAGATATTAGTTCTACTACTGAAGTATCAGAAATACCAAGTAAAAAATCTCGAACCTCTGGTCGCACACGTAGTCATACTTCCAGGTATATTAATATACTGTGATTTGCAAGTGGTTATTCGTATTTAATTAATAGTATTGATTATATTTACATTGTTATGATTTAATAGCATTCATGCTAGCGCTCAAAATAACGATCCTATTAATGAAACCTCTGGTCGCACACGTAGTCATACTTCCAGGTATATTAATATACTGTGATTTGCAAGCGGTTATTCGTATTTAATTAATAATATTGATTATATTTACATTGTTATGATTTAATAGCATTCATGCTAGCACTCAAAATAACAATCTCAATAATAAAACCTCTGGTCGCACACGTAGTCATACTTCCAGGTATATTAACATACTGTGATTTGCAAGCGGTTATTAGTATTTAATTAATAATATTGATTATATTTACATTGTTATGGTTTAATAGCATTTGTGCTAGTGCTCAAAATAACGATCCCATTAATGAAATTACTGATGCCGTGAGCTCAAAAAACAATATTAAAAGCCGATCTTTGAAAATATCTAAAAAAAAGAACAATAGTATGTTACAATTTTAATATATAATATTTGAAATATTTATTAAAAAATTGAAATCTAATTTTTTATTTTTGCAGAAAAATAATCGCATAATAATATGTGTGTGATATATATATGATATATATATGTGCGGTAATAATATTAATGAAAGCTGTAATTTATTTGAATATTAATTGTATGTATTTAGTAAATTATTTGCACAAAAATTGAATTAATAATTATTATATAAGCAAGACATTGTGACAACAATAAAATATTTATTTGATAAAAGCTAAATACACTTTATATGAATATATAATAACTAATGCATATTAATTGTATAATTATTTAATGCTATTATGTTAAAAATTAAACAAAATTTGTTTAAATATATACCAATTTTATACAAAAATTATATAAATTTTTGTTCAAAAAATTGTTCAACAAATCGACTCCATTTTGAACATTTTCTTGAACAAAAATTAGACAAAAATTAAACTTAAATGAAACAAAAATTGAAAATAACTATTAAACAATTTTAGAACAATTTTAATATATTTATTTGATGAATTTTTTTTATAGGGTATAATTAGGGTTGCATCGGTCCTTAAATGGTTCTAATTGGTCCCAAGCAAATTATTATATTTTGAGATGATTTTTTCATCAAGAGTTATTAATTAAAGTTGTTCAGAACTAAATTTAAGGTATACTTTCTTATTAGCAAAAGGTGGTATACCCTC